CCCCCAAAACCCCAAAACCCCGCTAAGAGATGAAAAGCTTTAGTAAGCATTATGAAATTAATTAGAAAATTTAGTCAAAAATCTTAGGAAAAAATTGGCGTTTTGGAGAAATTCTCTTAGTTGGTATTACTAATACTGATATTACTTGCTTTTTGCTCTTGATCTCGCCCACTATTGTTGCTATTTACGAAGTTTATCTAAAATTAAGGTTGAGAGGTTTTAATCTTTTTAAGCTTTGAGTTATTTCTCATCATAACTTACGAGCCTATGTTTGTTATCTAATTCAAATCATTTTAAGCTTGGGCTAACTTTATGTTAGTGTTTCTTCTGAATTGAGTCTAAGTATTCATTGAGTTGTCTAGATTATTAATATTGCTATAATCAGATTTATTTAAGGCACTTAGATCTCTACTCTATGAGGATAAATCTACTTTATCAATGTTTTATCTGATAAAATTAATGGGCTTTGTAAGATTTCCTTTTGGTACAGAGGAGTTTACTTGATTTTGAGGAGCTTTTATCCAATTTATTTAACCTGGAAGAATCTTGATGTTTTTTGCAATATTCTTAGATTTTCCTTAACTAAGAGTCTTTTATCTTTATGATTCGGAGCTTGATTTTATTTGATTCAGCTCTTAATTTATTTAGTTAATCTGCTGGTGCTTAAGCTGCAAATTCTTCTATTACACAATTGAACTGCTGTTGATGGATTAGTTCGATAGGAAATTATTTTGCAGAACAGCATATTCCTATGAAGCAAGGTTGTTTATTTTATGATTTTAATGACCTCCTCCTATCCTTTAATTTCTCATGTTACCTGGTGACTGTGATTACGCAAAGCTATGGCTTGTTTAAAGTGTGGTGACTACCTGCATTTGTCTCTCCATAGTTTAATTTAGTATGTTATTATGGCCCATGTATTAATTACTAGAACTCTTTCCAACAGTAGCCATAATAGTTTTAGACCCTTCTGTTTCTCGCTAATTGATCCCATTATGTGTTGAACTTGGCTTGATCTTTAATTTCCCAAGTCTATTAGAGTTTTATAGATTTCTAATACTCAGTTTATTGTTGCTTGGCTGGTTTAATTAAACTTAATGCTGATATGAGAATTCAGTATCAATATCTTTGATTGCACCACTTCTATGATTAGCTTTGGAATTCTACAGATTGTAGGTTTAGTTTAAATCTTGAAAAAATTTCGCTGTATCAGATTAAAAGTTAGTTGGACTCATTACTTTACCAATAGATTGCTGTTTAATCTCACCTATAAATTAAGTGGTATTGTTTTTAGGATCATTTTACTCATTAGAAAGTGTTGAGAGTTTAAACTGATTTCTTACTTCTGCTATATAGCTGGTATTAGCCATGAAATCATTAGGAGTCTTACTTCTTATATGATCACTAATATCAATATCTCTAAATTATTACTTCTGTTATCCATTAGTATACTTATTTTGTGATTTTGATTGCCTATTTGTAAAGTTATTATGCTGATTAAATAGCTAGTTCTACTGCTCTTGATACTATTTAATCTTTTAATGTATGCTTTAACTATTAAGCATTATGTCTTCATTGAAGTAAGACTTATCCATTACACCGAATTATGAATCACTTTTCAAATTTTACTATTGATTGCTACTAACCTCCTCATTTCTCTCTTATCTAATTATAAATGGCTGTGTCTAATTGGGCAATTTATCTTGCTATTATTAGTTTATTTATAGTACTCCAATTTACTTTCTATTCAAAGTATTAGGACTTAGATAAGAACTCAAATTGATATTTTCAGGGATCATTCCTGAAACTGTGCTTTAGTTACTCAGTTATATTCTTCTTATTTAATCGGATTTGAGGATTAATCCAGTATTCAATCTTGACTAGGTTTTATGAGGCTCAGATTGGCTAGACTATTCTTCTTTATTTATCCTGATAGGTTTAGTTCTTCTTTTGTTAGTTAGAAACGCACCTCTGCTAATATTTATTACTTATTGATTGATAGAGCTCATTGAGTTATTTTGATCAATCAATGCTTCATCATCACTCTGGTTAGTCTGATTTTTACTTTCATTTATATCGTCTTGAGTCATATCAAATTATTTTGAGCATATTTCGGGGTAGATTATATTGACATTATTTATTATCTCTATATCATTTTCTAATACTTGACTTCCTCTAGGTATACTATACATGCTTCCTCTTGTATGAGTAAGATTTCCTTAAGCATCTAACTAGAATTATGTTGATGCTTATGTAATTTGACTCTAAGCCCCAATAGTCTAGTTTCTGTTAATTTATTCCATTTGAATCATATTTTCCTTCTTAAGTTGCTATATTTGCTGCATAAGTGCTTTTTCTTTAATGCCAAATTCTTTCCTGATCTTATCATTTTCGTTTCTAATGCTCTCAGTTTCTTTGAGCAAATTTTCATTCTATTGAATATGAAAATTATATATTACTTCTCTTTAATGAAGTTCTTCCTTTATCTTAAGCTCCTATTCATGATGTGCAGTATTCTATTTTAATCTCTCTTTCATCTAGTTACTTTACTCCTCCAAAAGTTGAATCTTCTTCTCTAAGAATTCTATCCTGTTGTTCTATTAAAAATGTATAAATATTTGCGGAATTTACCTTTAAAGTTAATTGATTTTTCATGATCTCATGCTAATCATCTTGAATATACAAATGAGTATTGGACTAGATGTTATTATTTTCTGATGAGTCCTTGAGGGAATTTAAGTCGCTTACACCTTTAGAGTTCAAGAATTTTTGGAAATTATTGCTTGATTATTTTTCAAATTTATGAAATTTTATGTTTGCTGAATAAAATGGAGAGGTAGTGGTTTAGGGAATTTATTAATTATTGTTATTTGATTTATCATTTTAATTTTGAAACAGAAATAGTATTTTCTGGAGCAAATTATATTGACTCCATTTCAAATCCTATCCTTGAAATTTTAGATTCTAATTTAAAACTATCCTTTAGACATCTCTCGGACTCAGGAGGGCAAGTGTTCTTAGGTATTTATTATGGTTTTCATACTGTCCTACATCAAGCGGATGAGAATCTTCAAGAAAACCATAAAAATGCAAGGATCCAGCTGCTTAGTTATTGTTCTTATTAATTATTCCTCTTAGTATTTTCTTATCTTCCTCAGAAAATGTTACATTTTTAGTTTGGTGATTTTGAGACTACTAGTTTGAGTTCTAAGAATTTGACTAAGGATATTGGCGATTAGAGTATTCATTTTAATTCTTGAATGGAAAAGTATTATTTTAATGTTAGTTATTGCTATTGGTATTATTATGAGTGGATGGAGGGAAGTTGGGATAGCCATAATAATTTATATGAAAGAATGTCTGCTGGTTGTAGTAATTTGAAATTTCAGTAGGAGTTCTAGAAATACCTAAAGAATTGCTTTGCTCATTACCACTGTTAATGAATGTACCACCGCCATGGAGACTAGATATAGGTCTCTCACTTCCTTTACTCATCATTTCAAATTAAATGATTTTTTCTGGATCCAGCTAAATCTCCGCTCTGGGTCTTTACGGCTGAGTTCCCTCAAAAATTAAATCCTCATTATGTACATTAGAAGAGGATCCTGCATCATTGTAAGAGTCTTAAGTATTGATAAATAGATGAATTTATTTACTTATCATTTAATCAGTTTACTCGGACATTGACTCTAGCGTAAGTGAATTCCGAGGAAAGGTGAATTTCTTATTTTTGCAATCCTTGTGTGTCTAAGTTTCTGCTTTCATTTGCTAAATTATTAATTTATATATTCATCCTAAAGATTTTTTTTGCTTCTCGGGGTTTTGGGGTTTTGGGGTTTTGGGG